ATTCAAACCTGTCTCCCAGGTTGTTTTGACATTTTGTTTGCCAGGGTAGGAAGATAAAATTTATTTTACTTAACAGTTCATTGGCTGGACTTATTACTTTTAAATATTTTGGCTTATGGCATGTGTGCCTCTATCTATACTCTTGCTCTAGAGTCCATAAGTTAGGGATGGGTCCATTCTTCATGGAGACTGATATTAACTAAATGATCATACACACATACACAAATGTAAAATTGGACCATAGTACTAAGAAAATGAATACACAGTGTGAGTCTCTCCTAAAATGCTCTACTTGATCATTCCCAGGACTCTCGTTGCATGTTGGGATCTCCAGGTTTCCCTGAGCGCTACAAAGCTCTTCCCTTGGATCCCTGGGTGGCACAGCGGTTTGGCGCCTGCCTTTGGCCCAGGGCGCGATCCTGGAGACCCGGGATCGAATCCCACATCGGGCTCCCGGTGCATGGAGCCTGCTTCTCCCTCTGCCTGTGTCTCTGCCTCTCTCTCTCTCTCTGTGTGTGACTATCATAAATAAATAAAAATTAAAAAAAAAGAACTTTAAAAAAAAAAAAAAAAAAAAGCTCTTCCCTTACTCTCTCAGGACCCCAAACAATGACTACGCTATTTCACACTACGCTTGCCCCTTCTGAACATGGAGCTCCATGGAAGCGAACCCCAGGAAGAATAAGGGAGGCAGGCCAACCTGTTAATCTCTTCCAGACTCATTTCCTCTTTTCCATTAGGTCCAAAAAAGGTGCCTCTCTGCACCCACCCCACCACCACTGCCACCATGCATCTCATCCTTGTTCCACCTCCATGTGCTCCACTGCTGACCCTGACTAGGAGATGGTTTCACCTCTTTGTCGAGTTATCCATGTGTCTCACAGCTCTTCTGTTTCCAGCTGTCTAAACTCCCAGGCCAACATCTATTGCTTTTCACTTGGTCTTCAGAGCAACAGAGAAACCTTCTCTGACTAATTGGGGGAAAGGTAGCACATTCCCCCTGACTTGTCTCTCTGAAATGGCACCCTACACACTAGCTGCTTTTAAGCACACTTTTTTTTTCTTGTATCCAATATTACTAGAATTCACCTGCAACCCACTGTCTGTGTGTTCTTGATCTCCATCAGCTTCTCTGATGTCTGGGTTAGATTGGGAAACTCCTGGAGGGCAGGGCCACATCAGCCCTGTGTCTCCAGACCCTGCTCGGCAGAGCAGCAGGTATAGGTAGGCACTTACTTAATAAAGACTTTTGATGATGGAAACAGAGGAGCAGCGCTCTGAGCCTAGAGGATTGTGAGTGCACAAGAGGCAATCTGCTACCACCACCAGACCACCGTCACAGCAGTCCTGCCAGGGACTAGACTGGGAGCTGGGGCACACTTTTCCTTTTAAATGAGGCAGGAGGAGCACTGTCTTGCCTCTGAGATAGTAACAGCAAGACACTGTGACAGCATGGCTCTAACCATGTTGGCTGATCTGATGCTCAGAATGACCATCAGTTGGGGCCTATCATTATTATCCCTTCTTGCAAAGGAAGAACGTGAAGCACAGAGAAGCTGTGCCACTTGTCCAGGCCTCGAACTGGGGCCATCTGGCTTCAGAGACCTCAGCTTACCCACCACGGTCCGTCGAAGAGAACCAGTGCATCTTCAGCCAGAGAGAGAGAGAGAGAAGAGCTGCCAGCTGGGCTCTTGTTCTACACTTCCACGGATCCTTGACCCCTGTCCAGCCTGAATGAATGGCTGAGAGGAGGGGAGTGGCTACTCAGTCAGCTTTCCAGCATGGAGCCAAGTTGGCTCTCAAAGCATTTATTCACACACCATCCGTCTGCCTCCTCCTGTCTTCTCTTCTGTTTCTCAAACACACTAAGCTCGTTCACACTTAGGTCTTTGAACCTGCTATTTCCTCCACCTGGAATGCTTCTCCCCCAGGCCTGCATATCAGTGGGTCCTTCTCATCGCAGAGGGGCCAGCTCAGATGGCACATTCTTGGGAAGACTGTCCCTGATCACTCTTTCTAATGTAGCTGCATCTTTCCCAAACCCTCCCTTTCATTCTGGTCTGACTCATTATCCTGTTTGACTTTCATCAGGGTACTCAACACCATCTGAAATCGCTCTATTTGTCTAGTAGTCTACTGGTACGTTTCTGCATCTCTACTAGAATGTCAGCTTCAGGAGAGCAGAGGCCTCACTTGTTCACTCCTGGATATTCAGTGCCTGGAACAGCATCCGACACACTGTAGGTGCCTAATAAACATTTTTTTAAAGTAAATGCATGCATGAATGAATGAGTGTAAAGTCCACCATAGGCACATGCGAAAACTGGAATTAGTTGGACCCTCCCAGCTGCCCCTTATCCTATACAAGCTCTTGTCAGGAAGAGATCAGATCTTCATTTGGGGCAGTCTTTTAGCCCCTGGAGCAGCAGGCAAATGACTAGGGAGCTGTTTGGTTCCTTTGTTTGGGCAAAGAAAAGTCCAAGACATTCAGCTACTGAGATTGCAGACTGCCCTCCCTTCAGAGCCACATGTGCACAATTGCTGGAGCGCTTACTCCCTGAAGAGAAAATAAAATACTGACATCTCAGGTCTTCACTTTCTATTTGTATTTCTGTCTCTCTCTTCTTACTCTAGAGGGTTTTCCCCATCTCCCCTTTGTTGCCCTTCCTCACTGAAATCCTGTGAATAAAATTATGTTAAAAAATGGGAAAATATGTTCACATCTAAAACATGCTACTCTTATTACTACTATAGCACAATCTCATTAAAAATCTCCAAGCTTCTGCACGAATAATGCAACCCCCACAAATATAGTCATCATATGCAGGAAGTGCTCGACCCAGTCCAGTCTTAATGCCAACATGATGCCCCTGTTCCTTCCACATAATACTAGAGCCCATTCCTTTTATTGGTGTTAGCTCTTTTTATTCAGTGCTTTATTTAAGACACACCTTTCATTAAAAGAATGAACAAGAAAGGAAGGCTCCTAACCTCTGCCCAGACCCTGAATCACGTGCAGGTATTTCACAATATTCCTAATGATCCCTTTCTTCTTCTTCTTCTTTTCAACAAAATACTGCTTTTCCATTCCAAAATACCTGCCATTATATTTTAATCCCTTTCAAGATGTTTTCAGGCTCATTATCTTCTGAATTCTCCCAACACACTTACAAGGAAAAAAGGAGGACAGAAAAAGGTGCCTCTAAATCACAGAAGTTGCAAAAGGGGCCCAGAGGCATAAACCGATTTGAAGTTCACACAGTGAAATACCATCCAGAACAGGCTCCAAGTCCTGCTGTTTTCTAGAGACAAGGGTGTTTTTGCCAGAAGCCACAGTCCCAGCAGCCCCTGTGACATGCAGACCTAAGCCAACCCATATGGGAGAAAACAGCTTAAGAAGTTCAGAAGCTAACTAATTCTTTATTTTAGAAAAGATTAGTGTCCTGACCGGGGCAAAATGCTGACCAGGAGCGCCCCAAAGTGAGGCCTCACTCTTGCTCTCAGCCAAGCCACTCCAACTTGTGCCCACCAATGGAAGTGGAGAGAACAGCTGGAAGGACAATGAGCAGGCAGGTGCCCTGGACCTCCTCACCTAACAAGAGTCCTCACCTCTGGGAGGACTTCATTTGAGACTTCAGTAACCTTAGTCACAAGAAGGAGGAACCCAGCCCTTAGTCCCTCAGAATCATCTATTCACACTGAGATCTATGTCACCTCCTCTCATAATGCCCAGGCTGTGACCCGAGTCATCATCTGTCCCTGAAGTACATTGCTCGTTCAGAGCAGAGATAAAATGAATGAAAATGTCAGCTATGCTCGTCTCTTGCAGAGCAAAGCCTCAGCAAGAGCCAGAGCCCCTCGGGATCACCGGCATGGCATCCTACTGCTCTGCCGCTTGTTCAAGAAGCACCCAGAAGTCTTCCCTCCACTTCTGGGAAGTTACTGAAAAAGTGGCTGATGCAACCACAGAACTCTGACCAAGATGCAATCTAGTGTTCTTTCTCCAGCATCACTAACTCAGATTTTCAGGTGAGTCTTTTCTACCTGGGATTCTGTGGGAAGTGTTGCCATAATTCATGACTCTAGGAGAATGTCCACATGCTGTCTCCAGCCTCTAGCAGACACTAGATTGGAAGTGGAGCTGGAAGTGCTGGGGTGAGGCTATCTGCGAAAATCTGAATGAACAGAGAGGGAGGACCTTCAGACTTAGGAAGACTGGTCCATGATTGTACTTGGCATCCCCCATCCTGGATGGGGAGAGTTTCGGGGATATTCTAAGTTGCTTCAGGCCTGAGAAGGGGAGTAGATATGACAAGATTCCCTACTTCCTTCTCCATATCCTTTAAATCCATTCTCAACCTGCTTATGTATTTGTTTTCCTAGGAAAAACCTGAGTCGGTCAAGAAGTGTCTTAGCAAACTGTAGAGTCTTCTTGGACCTAGAATCTCTTCCCATTTCTTCCTCACTGACTAAAACATACTGCTGAGGATGTCAGTGTTAAATGGGAAAAGGGTAGCTCGACGTGAAATAATAGGGTCAGACTTGCTGTGTACGGAAAGAGGAGACGGTCTCTGCACATTTTCCTCTGAAGAGGGAAGGAGTTTGAATCGGGGACTGACAATGGGCAGGGAGAAATGTCAGTGACAACAAATCAGATAAAAAGATATCTTTGGCCACCGAGTTCCTTCATTTTATCACTTTTGACTTCTGAATCTTCTATTCTGAGGATGCTCATGGAATTTCTGGATGGACTTGAAGACGCTAGCATTGGGAAGAAAATGCAAAAGCTGGGGGTACCACTGAGCCACCAAACAGGCTCTACCAGGAACCAGACACCTTTCGGGCAAACTTAACCACCAGAAACATCAAGGAGGAGCCCTTTAAATGTATATTCCTCACACCACACCAGCACAACGGTTCCCCAGGGTAAGCAGGTGAGTAGTAATCTGCCAGACCTGGAGACACCATAAGGCAGCGGGAAAAGGGAAAAAGGGTCTCACCTGTTCCGGCCCCTGGAAGCAGATGCGGCATAGTGGGGTCCTCATGCCACTGTCCAGGCTGCTGCCCAGTGAGTAGCAATCCTCAGCCTTCCCCTTACAGAAGTCATCTGAGGAGGCACTGCTGAGCAGCGAGGTGGGTGGCTCTGTGGCTGGGCCACCCCAGTCATCTTCCACAGAAGAAGGTGGCAAAGGTGGTGCAGGTGGCAGAGGAGTGGTCTCCCTGCCCACCCCTTCTCGAGGGCCCCTCCAGCCTGCCCACCCCCCGGCACCCAGAGCCGGAAGGGTGTTGTTGTTGGCGGCCAAACTGGGGGGCTGGGGGTCGCCGTGCATGGGCAGGGGCGCTGGAGGGGGGCGCCGCAGTAGGAAAACCTTCAGGTCATTGAAGAGCATGCGGCAGCGGCACTTGAGGAGACCCTGGTGGCGCAACATCTGGGGAGCCGGGGCACACAATCCACAGCGGTACCAGGCACAGCAGCAACAGCAGCAGCACCACCACCACCAGAGCAGCCCACTCAGGGGCATCAGCATGTGCCCAGTGGAAGCAGAGAGCCCAGGAGGGGCAGCTGGAGTCTTTTCAGAGGAAGATAGTAGAATGGTTTTGAGAGGGGTCCACAGCAAAGCTGTGTTGTGGGGGGGGATCTGGTTTCTCACTGGCTCCCCTTACACCCCCTCAGAGTAGCAAATCAGTTGCCCCCAAGACTGAGAACTGTGAGTCACTGGCTCTGAACTCTCCCTGGAAAGCCCAAGGACAACAACAAAAACAACAACAAAGGTTTTCTTGCCTCCCCCCTACCCCCCACCAACCTTAGCTTTGCTCAGGGTGTCTCCTTGTTGCCTTTGACTTGGGGACACTGGTCGGAGAAGGGAATAAAAAAAAAATGTTGAGGGAGGTGCTGTTGGGGCCTTGAGATCAAGATCGAGTTGTCAGAAAGTTTCCCAGGAGAAGATTTTTGGGTTCTTCTCAAATTCCTAGGCAGTGGAAAATCTCTTGTGTTTTGTATAAAAGGGTGGGGAAGATTGTAAGTCGAATTTGGAGTGGACTGAGCTTGGCTTAGGGCAAAACAGCTCCGTAAAAAATTGGGTACTGCATGTGCAGAGAGAAAAGAGAGTTTTCCTCAGGTAGCAGGAGATGGGTTGTGGTGGTGGTGGTGGGGGTGGGGTGGGGGTTGCAGTGGGGAGGAGAGGAGGTTGGGAGAAGTTTTAATTCTCCTGGGCAGAAAACTGGGGCAATTAATCCCCAGAAGCACCAGAGTTGCTTTTAAGAGAGCAGTTGGATGGGGGAGGGAGGATTGCAGGTGAAATTGGGCGAGGGGCTTGTGCTTTGCCTCTGCAGCCAAAAGGCTGCACAGAAGAGGAAAAAGCCAATTAGGGGAATAGAAGTAGGAAAATAATGGGCTGGGAGGGGGATAGAAAGGGAGGGGAAAAGGAAAAGATCCTTTAACCCTTGAAGAGCCGCTTCCTTCCTGAGCATTAAGATCCTGGCGAGAGGAAGGGTGTGTGTGTGCAGGGGCCGGGAGGCAGAGGGGGTAGAGAGAAGGGGCGTGTGGGGAGAGGCGGGAGGAGGGAGTCGTTACATGGTCTCAGCCCCCGGCCCACCCCTGCGGCAGTCGGCAGATCCGCGGCCCCTTGGCCTGGGCTCCATCAAAGGTCCCTCGGGGCGAGGGGCAAAGGCCGGGGGAAGGGCAGATGCGGGCGGGCGAGCGGCCTCGCCTTCTCCTCCGCTCCTGGGCCGTGGTCGCCCTCCTCCTGCTGCTCCGAGTCCGCCCGCGGCCGCCGATGCTGCTGTGGCGGCGGCAGCGGCTGCTGCTCGGCGTCCCGGTGTCCCCGGGGCGGGGGCTGCTCCGGCTCGTCCTCTGGCTGCTGCTCGCCGTCCGGCGCGGCCGCGACTCCCGGCTTCATGATCCTCCTCCTCCTCCTCCTCCTTCCCTGGGGGCAGGCTCTGAGCCCCCGCGCCCGGGCCGCGCTGCCATGCAACCAGAGGCGAGGCAGGCGTAGGGTGGGGGCGGCCGGGGAGGGGGGGCAATAAAAAAAATGCAATAAAACTAGTGGAAGAAGAATAATGATTCGGCTCTCAAATAATCAGGGAAGAGTGCTTCTGGAGGGGTGGGGGTGCAGGCGGGCGGCTGCGGGCCCTCGCGGCAGCTCTGCCCCGCTCCCCCCACCAAGGGCGGCCTCGGTCGGCTCTCTCCCCCCCACGCCCCTCCCTCCTCTCCGCTGCCTCCGGCTGGTTGGGCTCGCTGTTGCTACCTCCCCGCAGATGCAACGAGGTAGGGCTTGTTTGCGGTGCCAGTTGCAGGTGGGGAGGGGGACGAAGCAGCGTGGCCGAGGTGGGAGACAGCCAGCACTTGGCTCCGGCTGGGTCCTCGCGACTCCTCAACGCCGGATTTATAGATCTATGCCTTATGAAAGGCGAGAGGAAGCAAATCAGATTCCAGGCTGCTGCCAGGTGTTGTCTCGTCTTCCGCCGTTGCTCAGCACCCGCCGCCGCGACTGCTGCCCCCCTGGCTCGGGTCCCAAAGGGGTGGTGCTGGAAGGGAGGTGGCGGGGCGGTGAGCTGACCGTCCGAGGAGGGGAAACAAGGATCTTGCAGCGGGGAAGGCGCTCAGCTACCTCCGCCGCCGCCGCCGCCGCCGCCGCCGCGGCCGCCGCCGCTGCATTCAGCACCCCGGGCGAGTGGACAGCTCCCACCCAGACCCCGCGCGTCACGCAAGTAGGGGCCTGACGCAGACGCCGCGGAGGGATGGAGGAGGGAAGGGGGCCAAGAGGGAAGGAGGAGAGGGAGAGAGGGAGAGAGGGAGAGGGAGAGGAGGAGGACCGCTCGAGGGAAGGGGATGGGGAGGGACCAAGGGAAAGGGAGGAAGGAGGCTAGGGAGGGATTTAGGGAGGAAGGGAGGCGGGAGCGAGAAAGAGAGAAAGGCAAGTGGGGTGGAAGGGAGCAATTCAGGGTACATTTCCCCCCAGCCGGAAAGTATCCGTGTGGATAGTAAGGTTGCAGAATTTCTTTCCACTGTGCACTATCACCAGCCCTCTCACCGCGCATACCCAGAGCCTTCCACATCTCAGCCAGAGTCCATTTTCCTGCTCATAAGCATTTTAAGCAGATATTAATCTGCAGGCTCTGGAAAAGATAAAGTTTTGTGATTCTCTCACTAACGCTGGGACTCGGTGGAGACTAAGTCCCTCGTGACTAAGAACTCGGGCCGGGGGGGGGGGGGGATGCTTCCAAGAGGGAGGGGGATGCCAGCACCCTTTTTTGCCAGTTTCATCCAGAATATAAGCTCCAAAGGGCAGGACTGTTTTGTTTGTTTGTTTGTTTTTGTTGTTTTGGTCGATTTTAATCCTAGGTGCCCAGGTCAGTAGGTGGCACATCATACGTGCTCAATACATATTTGTTGAATGGAATGTGGCCACCATCACCATCACCAAAGTCACCATTACTCCAAGCTATAGACTTCTTCCAACTGTGAATCGTAAGAACCCAGAGCAATATTATAGCCCCGTCTTAACCTATAGCTCCAGCCCTCCCGCCCTCCAAGCCTTTCACCGAGCTGCTGACAAGAGGTAATTTGAAATGGATTTTAATTTCTTCTCTTATTTCTGTTTCTGACTCATCTCACTCTACCTCATCCTTCTCAAGGAGTTTCTGGAGAGTAGAAAGGTGTCCCCAAATGTGAAAAGCAAAATAAAGAAAACTTAAAGTGGTCTATACAAATACTTAGTACTTACCGCTGTAGACTTTGGTCATTTAAAACTTAAGCTTACTTTCTTGCATTTCTTCATAACCTCTCTCCCCCTCCAATGCATACACACCTCCAGGGTCATAGACTTGGGCAAGCTATCCCAATGAATCATCTACACAGCTGTGGTAATGCCTTTAGAAATATTGGAGCCATAGACAGAAAAGCATGCAAAATCTCTGCACCAAAATATCACTGGCATGAAGTTCAGCCCTATGAATCATAAGAAAACTACCCCTTTGCTGCCATCTCCTTGAACGATTTATTCCTACAAGCTCTAAGGAGCAAGGACCTAAGTCTGGGTCTTGATTAAGCCAGGGTGGCTGCTTGTATGAATCATGCCTCGGCACCCACCATGGATGTTGACACCTGGCCCAAGGTAAGCGGTTGGAAGAGGATACTACAAAAATAACTACAAAATAATATGTGTATTACTGATATCAGCACACCCACTCTGCTGCAAAAGAGAATTTCTTTGTTGCAAAAATCCATCTGCTCTCAAAGAAAATTCTCTGTGCACCACATCACCCTATGCCTGACTCTGACATTGTGCAAATTACACTCTGTAATAATGATCTCATCATATATTCATCTCCCTCTATAAGACACACAGCTCCTTGAAGGCAGGGACCAGTATTTACGTTTGTGTCATTAGCATATAGCACAGCACCTAAAGCCTAGTGGGTGATCAAGAAAATGAATGCTGAATGGAAAAAACGGCCTCTTTGTTTCAGTGAAGCTACCCTATTTCTCCCCTACAACCTAAACACATTCATGAGAGTGCTCTCATATATAACTGAATTTCTGCTTTAACTAAAATTGAACTTCAGTGTCTTGTAAAATACTACTTATAAAATACTAGTTTCAAGTGTGTCATGCAAGTGATTTGGGGCAGGAGATAAAAGAGCCATATGAAACCCATACTCAGAGTTAGGGAAAGCAGTGATATCCATAAGACTGTCTTTCCCAACCCTTCCATGGAAAGGAAAAAGATTTCTGGAAGCAGAAAGCTGCTAAGGACAGGGAGCAACAATGGGCTGTCTTCAGAAAGACTGGAAAGCTTGAGGACTCTGTTTTGAATATAATCCTGAAAAGCACCTCACTGAGTTAGAGTCTCCTTATGCTGTTGATGAAACAATGGTTGTGAGCCTCATGAATAAAAGCCACAGCAAAGAAAATGTTAGATCAATGGGTCTCCATTCAAGTATTCAAAAAATATTTTACTGAACACCAATCACAGGCAAGACATTGTGTTGGAGGATGGCAACACAAAAATGGATTGGTTGGAATTGCATCCTCAAGGGTCTAATACTATAAATATGTACATAATCATAATAAAAGGTACAAAATAATGAATGCTACAAAGGTATAAAAAGTTTGGGGAGTGTTTAAGATAAGGAGGTAACTATGTTTATGGCTTGGCAGCAATTGGGGGAGGTGAGGAGAAGCGGAGACACCAGAGCTCCAAGAAAGCCTTTTTCAAAAAGTGACATACAAACTGGGTTAAGATATGTAGAATTCAGAGGAGGGGATGCTGAATATATTAGTTCTTCCATTTGACTGGAGTAGTAGGTGCTTGAAATTAAGTAGCTGGAAGTCAATCTGAAAGGTAGGCTGGAGCCAGATCACAGAAGGCCCTGAATGCCAAACTGGGAGAAGATTTACTCATTGACCAGTTACTTGTTTTAATGGGTTTAAAGATTTGGAGCTGAAGGTGAAGGGCAGTAATAAACTTTATCTCTGAGCAGGTTAATTAACTGGATGGGATTTCATTGCTAACAGGTGAAAACCAATCAATATTTTTCATTTCATGCCAGAAAGTTCTCAGCTCCTTAATAGATTTATTCTTTTAAACAAGGTTGTTTTTCAGATATATTTCATTAAATACAGAGATGCTGGGATCATGTGAATTAGAAGGGTAGAAGAATGAGAGGCTCCAAGTAATAGTCTTCAGGAATAAATATTGGGAGATGAAGATTTCAGAAAAGACTTATTATGGTGGCCATTGCATTTGCTTCTCCAATTAGGGGAGTCCTAAAGTGATCCCATGCTAACTGCTGTTGTTTCTTCTTTATGTAGACAGACAGTACTCAGGATAGAAGACATTTTACAGAGGCTAGGGGTGGGGGTGGGGGTGGGAGGTGGGGGAAGAGGTCCAGAAAGAGCAGGTGGCTCTGTGCCCAAGATCTCACGGTAAAGTAATTGTCAGACAAGGGCTAAAACTTCTACATCTTCTGATCCTCAGTACAGTTTGCTTTCCACTCAATCAGTCGGATCTCTTCAAATGTATAGTTCCTCAAGAATAATTGCAGAATTACAGTTATGGAAATTATTAATAGCTACCATGTACTAAGCCACACACCTTCTTCATACATACTAGAAACACTGTGCGTTTATTAAATATAGAAATTCTTAGGTGCCACTTAAGTCTACTGAATAAGAATTTCTTCGGGAGAAATTGAGAATATGCATTTTAACAAATGCCTTACCCAAGTGATTTATTTATTTTCAAAACTCCTTAGGTTAGTAAGTTTTTCCCACATTTTTGGGGTAAGAAAACTGA